TGCCTTGGTGGAGCTAAGCTGTTAGTCCGCCGCACCGAAATAAGTTTCACCTTAACACCCACTGATTTCATATTCAAAAGCACCATAATAAAAAAAAAAATCCATCATCCATCTATGGATTTTCACTGTTCGCAAGTTAGCCCTTTCTCAATACCCCGCAAATTGTGGCGTCCACTGTATCCAAATACGTTTGTTTATTTTTATGTTAGCTTCATGAGCATATTTGGTTTTGAAGGAATCCAAAAGTAATTAAAAGTATTCAGATTATTGTACATAGCTTTACTACTACATTGTGACACTTGGATTGTATTACTAACTACAGTTTTTTTTTTTTTTTAAACAGGTAACAAGTACCGGTAACTGTAACGGAATACAATTGAAAAATAAGCCTCCCAACCCTGTGAATATGTACCAATAACTTGACAGCTGATGTCTCATCTAGTGATTCTTTCTTTTCACTTTCTACTCACTGCTTAACAACGGCAGCAAAAATAAAAATATGTACAAAGCAAATACATAATTAAATGCTACTAGAAGCTTGAAAAAGCAGTTGAAGTAGTTTTTGTTGTTCCATCAAATTTTGAAAATAAAATGTCTTGATTAAACGCTGCCTTCACAATTCTTAAATATTCATCCTCATATATATATATATATATATATATATATAATTTAACTATATACTGTACATTACTTTTCAAAAATTTATGTCATCCCATTTAATTCATATTTACAACACCCATACTAGTCTACCATTCTACAATAAAATGTGCACATTTGCTTTGAAATGTAGTATAAAGTGCTTCATTGTTTTTATCACAGCACATTACAAGTGCAAAATAAGTGTCTATCACAGTTTGTATTCAAAGACGTGGATGTGAGAAAATAACGTGAAATTGTTCCCAAGCCACTTCAAACTGCTGGCAGCTGTTGCTCTCCCAGGTGACTTGTTCCATCTATAAAGATGCGTGAACCTCCATGTTACATGACAGAGACAAAAAATTGCTTGGGGAATTGCATATGCTCACATCAAGGGAGAACCCACAAGGTTGTAAAAAACATGTTATTAAATATGAACATGTTTTTTTTTTCATACGGAAAGGCTTAAAACTGTGAAACTTTGTTAACCCTTAACATACTTCGATGATAAAATGCTATTTAAATATTAAGAGAGTCAAATTCTAGTACAGTTTAAACATACCGGAAAAGTAAATGTGGAGAAAGTTAATTTAAAAAATGACCTCATGTGTTCTGCTTCTTCAAAATGAAGAAAAAAAAAAGTGTTTTCTTTTGCAGTAAAAATTCCTAATTTATGTGATGATGAGGAGAGCAACAGAGGAAGCCTGAGGCAAATGCATGCTTACACGTACACACACACAAACACACAGTGCAACTCACAGTAGCTCAGTGTGGGGGAGGGGGGGAGGTTTTAATCAACACACAGTAATGTGGATCTATCGGGCGTCTCAGGACTGAGCCAGGAAAGCAGACGAACCTGGCCTGGGGCACCATGAAAGCAACAGTGTGTGTGTGCGTGTGTATGTGCGTGCGTGCGTGCGTGCGTGCGTGCGTGTGTGTGTGTGTTTGTTGGGGGCCACTGGAGCCAAAGGCATGTCATCGCTCTTCCAGGAAAGCAGACGAACCTGGCCTGGGGCACCATGAAAGCAACAGTGTGTGTGTGCGTGTGTATGTGCGTGCGTGCGTGCGTGCGTGTGTGTGTGTGTTTGTTGGGGGCCACTGGAGCCAAAGGCATGTCATCGCTCTTCTTCCTGTCCGCTTTTGCTCTGCGGCCATCAATTTCTTCATCTGCACTCACGTCCACATCATCAAAGCCCCCCAAAAGTAATATAGCCACCGACACTAATGTGTTTGTCAGAGAAAATGCCCCATCGCTTTAATAATGTTTCACGCCATCTCTGATTTCACCAAGGACGGAGAATTTGCTCTTCAGCCAGATAAACAAACTGTAATTCCAGACAAACTCAATGGAAAGGCAAAGTGCAGCCAATCAGATGTAATCATGTATGAAGAAATGTAATTTGGGAGGACAACACGGCAGAGCGGCTTGATACGGATATTAGTTACTCTTCTAAAAAGCGTGACCACACCCGCCGCATATGAATTTATGAAACTGGTTTGTGATTTCAATCTGACTAATGTATCAGAACAAACCCATCTGTGTCTTGCTGACCCCCAGGGTGAGCTGGGGAGGGGGGGGTGCCGGTCGAGCGGGAAGCACTGCGAGAGTGGGCGGGTTAGTTCCTGCCTCCACTATAAAGTGGTCAGCAAGATGAGAAAAGAATCTTGTGTTTTTGAAGCTTGCTGGAAAAACAAAGACAGAACAAAGAAAGGCCAAGTTCCATGGGAAAAATTTATTTCTCGATATGCAATATTTTCCAAACTGGTGGAACGTTGTCGTTCCATTGTAGCTGGTGCCGATAGGTTATGCTGAGAAGCGGCGAAAAAAAAAAAAAAAAAGAGGAGGCAAAATCAAAACTGAAATCAAATAGTAAAATGTGACAGTAATGATTCAAACATAAGGAAACAATTTTAACAGCTTTTGCTTATACATGCACATTGAAAAGTAATACTGTGGCTTTGAACAATAGCAGAAATCACCCTACAGTGAGGCTCAGAGCGAGCAACATCCACGTGCTTAATTCCGAAGGATGACAGGGGCTGAGGGAGGTGGCGGCAAAGAAAAAAGTAAAACAAAGGACAGTCTGGGAGATAATGAGCGGTGGAAAGCCGATGATTTATTGGGGAGCGGTCACACTGTCATAGGCGGCCCCTTTTCTTTTTCTTCTCCTCGCCTGCCTCTTCGCACAAGCACGCGCATGCCGGTGTGCACTTATTAAAACTGGGAAGAGTTTCATCTTTCATTGTTTTGTTGGACTTTATATCGGAGGCGGAAGTGTAGGTAACTCCTAAACAGTGGATTTGATAAAAGAATTCATTTGCGGGGTTAAGTGCTTCTTTGCGACACAGGGAGGATGTTGTCACCCGTGCTTGGAATGAACTCTCCTTTTTTTCAAAGACGCTGAGTGTCACAGACAACAAGAAGCACGTTGAACGGCCACGTCAAAACGCTGAACCGAAATTTTTGCAACACTTGTGGTAACAAAGACAATACTGGACACTGCAAAAGAAGACAGCCCCGTTGCGACAATATGTTTGGAAAGAAATGAAAGGAGACATCTTGCAAACCGAGACGAGAAGGAGTCATACAAAACACAATTTAGAAAGACAGCTATTTACAAATACCCTCCATTACAAAAATTCTAATTTGTGTTTTTCTTTTACTTTTAAGCAGTGTTCAGGTGAAATTACGCCTTGCATTGGGCTCCAGGCATATATTTACATTTCTCTTTTAATGTTTCCGCCCCAATTTGAATAACATTAAGTGGTCACAAGTATGGGTGAAAATGAAATATGGTCTGCGGTGATGTGGTAATGACTCCCTTGGCTGGTGAAGGTGGGGGCACGCTGATCCAAAAGCAAAATATTTGATGTGGATGTTTTTCGCAGAGGAACACCGAGGCCTGCATGCTGAGTTAAAACGCAGGACCACAAAAGCCCGGGCAGCTGTTTAGGTTGTTAACTCCGAGGTTAACGACACGCAAGAGTCTTTCCCGAGCTCCTCGAGCGGGGCTGCCTTTTAACTCAGCAGCGAACGTCCGTGGATGTGGCTGTAGATGATAGGTGCCTCTGCCGGTGAGTAAACACCGAGCGGCAGTCTGACCTGGAGATCACCTGGACCCGTCAGTCTCAATGTGTCTGTGTGCGCATGTGCGTGTCAGCTTGCATGCTGAGGAATGGCTGTTCTCTCCCCTCACACATCATTACGTGACACCGCTCCTTAACTTTGGCGGCCACGCTGCGCGAAGCACCTATTTCCTGTCCCAAAACAGGTCCCGCTACAAACTACAAAAGCGTTCACGCGACGCACCAACTCACGCCCGCAATCTGCAAATATAAGCAATTAGCTCTCACGGCGACATGTGCGCTCCAGCTGCGTTGCGCACAAACGCGAGCTCCCGGTGATAAGTGAGCTGCGGTATCCTCGCAGTCTCGACACTTTCATCGTGGAATTTTATGTACAACCCCTACCCCAATTCACACCAGAACCAGTGTGAGCCTGGCGAAAGAAAACCACTTCAGCTTTCCGTCCTCCTCGCACATTAAAGCCAACTCACGAGGACATTTTCTCCTCCCCGGCTGGTGAACGTGGGCATGGAAACGGCACATTTTAGTGTGAACTCCACTGACTCATCTCCAGAAGGCAGCCAATTGGCAGCGGACGACAGTGTATCCATCTGTGGTTAGCCATTCAACTTATATAGGATAACCTAACTATGTAGGCCAACCTCCTTTTAGCCCCAAACTGCTTACTTGCACTGTTGCACCACAAACTAGAGCAAACACATTGCAACATGTCTGTTGCCTAAAAAAGAAAAAAAAATCCTCCATGCTCCTCAGAATTAATATCTTCAAGCAGATCCAAGTGGAATGCTGGAGGAATTTGGTGTCTTGTTTTTTAAGCTTCCAATAGGTCCTTCAAGGTGCAAGGTCTAGACTTGCCCAAACACACACACACACACACACACACACAC